TTGCCTTGGGGCACTGATTCCATATCTGTTATCTTATATACATTATAGATTACTTCAAACATAGAATTAAAATTGTATTTTCAATTTGGTGAACATTAACTTAAGACACTATTACATAAAAGCCCCTTGGTTCTCTAGAACAAATTCAGGACAACAAATAACTATATGAAACTGTCATACTTTTGGTATTCTAAATTATCTTAATTTTTTATGCCATTTAAAAAATAAAAATCTACAGCACCATCTTCAGAAAAGGCACTTTCTAAGAACCGCCTTGATTTAAAAACCAAGTTCAGTGTCTACCTGAAAAACCACTTCACTGAGACACTACTATAGAACAACAGTAGATTTTGGTGACCTTAGACATTGACTTCAAAAAGGAAGGGAGCTCACTGGCTGACTGGACGATCCTAATTTCATCATACTGTTGGTTACCTGTAACTTTAATCCAACCTTCCATACTGAAGTTTACCATCCTTTTATATTCAAGTTAAAGTCATTAACTTCTATGCTTTAAGAACACAAGATTCTTAAGATTTAAGAATATAAAGCTCTAGGGCACTCCATTTGATGGGTGAGGTGAATTTCAACTGGCCATGGATAATCAACAGAAGCCTTGTCCATTGAAAAATTGCTGACTTATATGGAAAATTATGAACTTAAATGTAACATTTTTAGAACTAAGAAAAAAAGTAAAAATATTTTTTCCTTTTGTGACATATTTTATCTATATATAGAGCACCTGGGACTCTGGGACTCAGCTGTGTTTAATTAATCACAGCATCATATCTATCCTTGCCAAGATTTTTCAGAGACAATTCTCTTTCTGATTTGTCTTTTTTTTCCCTGTTCTTTTGGGTTTGGCAGAGTTGGGGACAGAGTATTGCTATGCAGCCTAGGCTGGCCTCAAACTCTATGTAGCTCAGGTTGGTCTTGAACTCAAGATCCTCTGGCCTTAGCCTCTGGAGTGTGAGGATCACAGGCATATGCTAAGCCCAGCTGTCTTTATGATTTCTATACTGACTTAAAATTTTAAAAATTTAGAATGACATTTATTTGTGTGATGAGTGGTGCCATGGCTTGGGTATGGGGGGGTCAGAGGACAATTTATGGGAGTTGGTTCTCTTTCTACGATTTGGGTCACACGAATTGAACTCAGGTTGTCAGACTTGGTGGTGAGTGGGTGAGTGCCTTTCCCTGCTGAGCCATCTCCCACTCTCTGTACTGACTTTTACATACTTATTTGTGGCCTAGTTTTTGACTCTTTTCAAAAAATAATTTATTTTTTTATTTCATGTGCATTGGTGTTTTGCCTGCACGTCTGTGTAAGGGTGTCAGAGCCCCAGGAAATGGACTCACAGGCAGTTGTGAGCTGCCATGTGAGTGTAGGGAATTGAAGAGCAGCCAGGGCTTTTAATCACTGAACCATCTCTCCAGCCCCCCAGTATTTGGTTCTTACAGAACCACAGAAATGCTTATGTGTTAGGTGGAAAGGAAATAGGAAAACAAAGACCCTCTAATTCAGGGGTATAGCATCACTCAGGAAGACCTCACTTGATGTGAAGCTCTTTAATTATTTTTATGAAAGCTTCAAAACTATCTACAAATTCCCCAAAGGATGAGAAGGCCTAACACTTCATGTGGATAGAGCAGCTGAATCAAGAACATTGAAAAAGTGAACTGTCTTTTTTTTTTGACAGACTCACTTAACTCATAAGAGGTAAGTAAATTACAGGAACTATTAAGAATAGCCTTTCTCTGCAACAGGAAAGAACCTATAGGGATAAGGTAAATGGGTTTTTTGCTCTTGTTTTGAGACATGGTCTCATGTAGCTGAGGCTGGCCTTGAGCTCTTGATGCTCCCGAGGGCTGGGATTACAGGTGTACCTTATGTCTGGCTCAATTGAACATATAATTCAGTTTAATGACACCCAGTGGAAATTATACAGAGACATCAGTTAAATAACTTGGCAAAACATTACTGTCAAGGTTTGAAACAGAAAGGGATCAAACTATTCTACTAGTGCCCAAGTGTCCAGGTCCTTGAATTTCATAAAATATTAAGCATAGGAAAAGTCCCACTGTGTGCTTCGGATAGATGTCTCTCTGGGTTTCACATCTATTGCTGGCCTCCAAGTGCTTATACTGCCCCTGAATGAGATCTTGGAGCCATTTCTACTCAACAGCAGCTGGTTTCTTATTTCCCAAGACACACTTCAAGTCTGCCACCCGAAGATCCACAGGACAAAATGTCAGTGGGGACCACAGAGAGCCTGGCTTGGGAAACTGGTATGGGTCTTTAGAAATCGAGGAGTTTCTCTGCTAGAAGGCAGAGATGAGTCTTTATCAAGTGCCTCCAAAACACAGAGCATTCCTACTGGAATCCCTTCTGGATTCTCTTCAGGAAGCAAAGTAAGTTAATACCTCATAAGTGGAGAGGAGATATTTCTAGACTTTTTTTTTTCTGGAAAACTTGTTAACAGATAATTATTAATAAAGTGAAAAGTATCCACATTACTGTGAAAACTCAAGTACCCCCTGCAAACTGTCAATGTAAAAAACAAATGAAAAACCCGCTACATTTTTAAAGCAAAGGTATTTGGTTATTAAACTGAAACTAGAACTGTTTTAAGTACCTGCTGTTACCTTCATAGTTTATGTCCCTAAACTTGTCTCAAGAACCCAAAGGGTCTGACACTAGCCTGGCATCTTGCACACCTCCTTATTATTTAGAGCAGTAAATGTCAGACTCTATCTAAATAAATATAGCAGCTACAGAATTATCAACGTATGGTCTCAACACCAGTACTTTGATACTGTAATACAGAGACACTCTTGAGACACATTTGCCATCAAGAACATACATTAAACTCCAAACTCTTCTTCACATGGAAAACAATTGCATAAGTTGTTTAGATTGACATTGCAGTCAGTCTTATGAGACACACCATAAAGACCTGCAGGCCAACACTCATCAACTAGAGCAAGAGTAGGGGAGAAAAGCAAAGTTGCTACAGTTTCTCCATGTTTAAACTAAAAAAGGAACTTCAGAAAAAGATTAAGAATTTTATCCAGAAGCGCAAAAATAATTACTATAAATTTCAACAAGTATTTTCCATAAGCCTTTTACCATAAAATTCTAAACACAAAGTTTGTTGGCATTAAGTTTGGTATACCAAGTTATTAGTAGGCAAAATAGAAATATACTATACATAGTCTTCTAAGCTAATTATCTTAAACTAGCAAGACAATAATGTAAGAGCATTCTAAAAATGAAGCCATTCAAAAGATAAAACCTTATATTTTAGGAAAAATATTCTTCCCCTTGAAAAGTTCCTTCCAAATAGGAGTTAAAAGCAAGGGCTTTATTCTGGCAAGTGTGAGATCAAAGGTTAGGAAAAAGACAGGTGTCTATGTTGCCCCCTAACGTTCCTTGTGTGAATATGTGCAGGGGCCACAGACGAAGGAAGATGTTCTAATACACCGGACAAACAGGCTGTACTATTCTCTTCTCGTGCTCATCTCCCCAAACAGATGGGCACAGTGGAAGAATCCCTGTGGTCCCCGCTACCAGGGAGGCTGAAGTGAGGAGACTGGTGCTGGAGGTGAGCGTGGGCTTCCGAAACAAGGGAGCAAACAAACCAACCCAAATATGTTTTAGGAGTTTTTCTTTTGTCAGAGAGGAGATGGAAAAATTTGGGAAGAAAAAAACAAAGTACAAACGACACAAATATCCTTTGTAAAGTGCTTTGAAACAGTTCTGAGAGTTGCAGTTTCGATACTTCAAAGCAAAAAAGCGTAAAACAAAACAAAACAAAAAGCATAAAACATACAGTGCTTTCTTAGTTTTCTGTCAGAGGGACAAAAGATTTCATGCCTATGGGAGGACACGGGCTCAGATTTTAGGCTCAAAGTACAGTAAACTGGCAATAACAGTGAATTAAAAGTAAGAGAACAAAGGAGGCTCTAAAGTCATTGCTTGTCAGGTGCAGATGGGGGTTTGAAGGCTGATGGCGACACTGCAAACATCTGTAGTGTCTGTCCTCGGAACCAGAACAGGAAACAAGAACAGAGGAAACTCAATGCAACTTTCATGACTTACAAAGCACAAAGTTCCCTGACTCTGACGCTACTGAGAAACTCAGCTTTGACAGCTTAAAGTTATCAACTAAAGTCATTGACTAAAGAAGAGGAGAAAAGTAAATTTTTTAAAAGATTTCTCCTCCATATTTCAGAAATTTAACTAACTTTAAATGATCAAAGCCCTGAATTTCTTTGTCATTGTCTTCTTATTTTTAAAGAGAAAGTACACTGGTAAAAAGATAGAGAAAAAAAAAAAAACCATCCAGTATTTTCTTGATTCTTTTGGTCAAAGAAGCACAATTCTTCAACAAGCAAGATCAATTTTCAAATAATTAAAAATCTTCAAATCTTAAGCTGTTCGCTGTCTTTTCTTTTCTTATTCTTTCTTCTTTTTTTTTTTGAGACAGGCTTTCTCTGTATAGCTCTGGCTGTCCTGGAACTTGTTCTGTAGATCAGGTTGGCCTTGAACTCAGAGATCTGCCTGCCTCTGCCTCCCAAGTGCTGGGATTAAAGGTATGAGCCACCACTGTCCGGCTATCACTGCCATTTTTAAAACAGAAGTGCTGCTGTGTTCCTGACCTCTAGTGAGGCTTGTCTCGTTGGCTTTACTTCCTTGACTGTGGTTGTGTAAGGACATGCTCTAAAACTGAACATTGTGAAGCACTCCTTCTGAAGTTAAGGCTGTATTACTTTGCCCCCTTTTAAATGACAGGTGTCTGTCTGTTCCTCCTGTTGTCTGTGCGGAAGACCACAGACACACTTTCCTTTAAAACTACTTATTGCACTAAAAGCAAAAACTAGTTTGTTCTTAAACACGATTACATTCCCATAGAAGATGTAGCCAATGCAGCTTATAATTATTAAAGCACTATTCTAATGAATATAAAAGCAAAAGGAGCTATACTTCAAACATACATATATGTTTCACATTAAGGTATGAGGGTAGTCAGTAAACTAGCAAACACCAAGAACCCCTAATTCCTTTTCTTTCCCTACTTATAGAGTTTCAGATTTTTAAAAATATTTACCCTTTATAAAAGCTTTAAGGGATTTTCAGGTATAACTCATACAGAGGCTTCAGAATATTTGTCACTGATCTGAAGGACTTCTGACAAGGTTTTGTACTTATAGCAGCTTTAGCACACGCACTACAGAGAGGAATACTTGGGTTGCCACTGTTTCTATAGACAGAGCACACATGGCAAAGGGAAATCCAGAGCAAGAAGGAGCAGACACTCGCAAACATGGCCTTAGGAGCAAGGACCCAGAACTATGTGTATGAGATAGGAGCTAGGAGTAGGGTACATAAAATAAAAACAGAAACCTAGTTTGCCATGCTTTACTTCAAATGAATCATATATATGAACGCATGACTGTCGATTGTAGCACTAGGGACAGAAGTGTAGACGCTGAATGCAAGTAGGGGGGAAATGACGGTGGCACAAAGAGGGATGCCAGGAAAAGAAAGTTCCCCAGTGGAATGAACTATAAAATATACACACAGACACATGCATATCGTTAGTCTAGATGGAGACATATATGCACGTGAAGTATACCTGTGTGTATTTAAATACACACCCCTTTATAAAAACAGAGGAGTGCACATTGTTTTCTGCACATGTAACTGAACAATCATTATTCATGTAGGTGTGTGTTTTTAAACCATCATTCACTTTTTCTTTTTTGCAAAGGTATTTGTGCTGCCAAGCAACTTGAGGTAAAGGCATTAAAAGGGTTAGACTGTAAGAAGTGAAAATAAACAACTGCAATGCTTCCTACGGGAGACTGCAAAAAAGCAGCTGGCTGGTTCCCGAGTGCACAATGGTACTTTGTTCCTTGACAAAGTAAACAATTTTCCATGGATCAACAGGACCAACCCTTACAGTGTTGGCTTCGGGATGGCCGGAGCATCCCCAGTGAGCTGACTCCACTGCAAACACACACTGTTGTTGATCTGCCTTTCAGCTCTTCCTCCCAAAGAATGCATGTGGACTTGTTAAGCGAAGTACATTGTGCGTAAGGTATCTTGGTGGATTTGTACAGCCTTTGCAAGAGCCTGTGGATCTCGCCCATTGCTCTGTCCTGAAACGTGGCTGCCTTCAGCACTGTAAGAGAAAGGATAATGAACATAAGCATAAACCTCTGTTTTAATGTAAAAATTCTGAAGATTATTACATGTAGAAAATTGCAAAAATACAAGAATGAACATTGTGTCTATCGTTTAGCTTCCATATGGCCAATCTTACCTTGGCTCTTTCATTTTCTCAGGGTTAGTTAGAAACAAATTCCAGACAGCATTTCATTTTTGCCATCTATATCTATATCTATATCTGTATCTATATATCTTCCTTGGGTAATTTGGGGAAGCAACTAAGTTACTGGATTATTCTATTTTTTAAAAAAATACTTAATTTTCAATGTGTATGGGCATTTTGCCTACACACACACCATGAACATGCCTGGTGCCATGGATGGCCTGGAACTGGAGTAACAGACAGTTGTGAGCCACCACGTGCATGCTGGGAATTGAACCCCGGGTCCAGGGTCTAGGGGAGCAGTCAGTACTCCCAACCACTGAGCCACTCATTTCTCCAGCCCCAGATCATCCTATTATTAGTAAGCCCACACAGTATACTTATTAGAAAATCTTATTTTGGGCCATCAGTTGTTACCGCTTTTCACATAGAGTACTGTCTGTCTGGCAGTCAGTGGGACTTTAGTTCTGAATGGCAAGACTTTTGGCAGACAGAGGGATACTCATACACAGAAGTGCTTATAGAAATGCCCTAAGAAATCAGTCTGTATTTGATTTGGTCTGAGCACCCCCACTCTTAATGCTTTTATATTTATTACCTGTCATGTTCCTTGTCCACAAGGTGATATCTGGCTCTGAATGCCACCAGGTGGGCATAATATGCAGGGGCAGGAATGGAGACAGAGCGTGTGCACCTCACGTAGGTGTGACAGAGCTGGTAAGTCAGCAGCTGAAGTTCATCTGCAGTGAAACAGTTGTCATCCCACAAGACGTGATAGTGTGAAGGACGGCTGGTTCCCTGTGGAGAAGAAATGGTATATTCTGTTGATTTCTAAACTTTTTTTTTTTTTTTTAAAAAAACTTTTCATTGGTGGGCTGGCAAGGTGGCTCAGGAGCTAAGTGTTTGCTGCACAAATCTGGTGACCCGAGTGTGATTCTTAGATCCCATGTAAAGGGGGACAGAGAAACCAGAGTCCACAAAACTGTCTTCCAACTTCCACATCTGTACAATGGCATGTATGCCCTTCTGCGACACACACACACAGACACACACACACACACACACACACACACACACACACACACAAATACCACACTTTTCATTGGCATGTATTTGTTGTCCATGTACGTAAGAACATTGTCACACAAGTCTGTAACTTACTTGGAGCAGGCTACCCTGTGTACCCCTCCCCTTTACCCTGCTTCACCCCCCTACTTCTCTCCTCAATTCCCTAGACAGTGACACATTTCTTTCATGTCACATACATATTCATGATTTTACACATAAAATCTAAATGCTTTTTATTTATAATGCTTCTTTTATGTGTATGAGTGTTTTGCCTGCTTTGTATGCCTGTGCACCAACATGCATGATGTGTACTTGTGCAGGCCTGGAGAGGGCATTGGATCCTCCTAGAGCTGGAGTTACAGTTGGCTGTGAGCCACCATGTGGTTGCTGGGAATCGAACACAGGTCCTCTGGAAGAGCAGCCAGTGCTCATAACCTCTGAGCCATCTTTACCGCTCCATATAAAATCTAGGACCTACAGATGAGAAAAGGCATGCAATAGCTTTTTTCTCTGATGCTTAATTTGATTAACATGAGTATTTCTAGTTGCATCTATTTTCATGTAAATATTATAACTTTTTCTCTATGGCTGAGAAAAAGTCCATTGTGTATATACTCCAGATTTTCTTTCCAGTCCATTGATGATGGACACCTAGGTTAGTTCTGTAACTCAGCTATTGTGAATAGAGCTACAGTAAACACTGGAGTCTGACTCTTTGGTACAATGACTTGGAGTCCTGTGGGTAAACACCCAGGAGTGGTAGAGCTGGGTGACAGTTCTGCTTTTAATTTTTTTGAGGATCCTCCATACCCAGATTTCCATGATGGCTACCCTACTCTACACCCATAGCAGCAGTACAGAGTGGTGTACACCAACAGTGTGTGGCTCCCTTATGTCTCTCTGTGCCAGTGTCTGTTGCTGTGGTATTATCTCTCCCTCCTCCCCACTGCCAGCCCTAGACACTGTCTTATGAACCCTAGCTTGTCCTTGACCTGAACTTCTTGATCTTCTGCCTCTACTTTCAGAGCATTGGTGTCACAGACACACATGGGCTCATGACTTCTGGAAGCCCAAAAGCATTTAATCTCACTAGCCACCAGGAAAAAATGCAAATTTAACCTACATTGGGATTCCCTCTCACCCCAGTCAGAATGGCTGTCATTAAGAAAATAATAAACAGGCTGAAGATAGTGTTCAGATGGTAGAATGTTCACCTGGGATGTAGGAAGCAGAAACAGCAGTGCTGGAGGGACCATAATATCTGATCTCAAATTATATCACAGAGCCACAGTAACAAATCAAGCATGATACCGGCACAAAATTGGACACGTAGATCAATGGAATAGAATAGACAAACCAGAAAGAAATCTAAAATAGCTACAGCCACTTAATTTTTTGACAAAGGTGTTAAAAACACACTTTGGAAAAATGCCTTTTAAACAAATGACACTGGGAAAACTGGATGTCTACATGCCAGGTAAAGGGACTCTGGCTCACCTGAGCATAGCTAGCATGGAGAGCACGTGGCTCTGGCAGGCCTTGCCCTTCTCCCCCATTCCCTCTGCCTTTCTAAAAACAGATTACATTCCTAAAGCTACCCACGAAGGTCTATCCCTTATTTGTCCACTTCCTCCTCCTGAGGCTGACTACCCAGGTCCAGCTATCAAAATGTTGAAATCAAGTAATCAAAAGCCCCCCTTTGACTCACCTACTTAAATGTCTAATAAAAATTCAACACCTCATCCTAGCGAGGTATTTCCCATTTTACCTTTATAAACCACTGTTTCCTATGGGCCACATCTGTCTCCTCTATCCAGGGGCTGTCCTTTATCCCTCTGGGACAAATATCCCTGACCCCTCTCCCTTGTTCCCTTCCCCTTCTCCTTCATCCTCTATCTCCTGTCTTTGCCTCTTATTCTCTGCTCATTATCCCTCTGGGGCAAATCTCCTTTGTGCTGAAAATTTGTTTTTTGGTGAGTGAGCACACTTAGGAAATAGTACTAGCCTAGATGTCCATGGACAGACGAATAGATAAAGAAAATGTACTTTTTTTTTTTTTTTGGACAGAATTTCATGAAGCTCAAGCTGTCCTCAAGCCTACTATGTAGTCAAGACTGGCTTTGAACTCCTGATCCTCCTGCCTTCACCTCCTACCATATCCAAGCATACAGTCATAAAGCAAAGTAAGATTGAAGGGACCAGCTTCCCTTTTAGCAGCCATAACGGCTGAACATGTGCTTCTATGACCTTGTCCTAGACACTAGAAAGTCAGATGCCTGCCTCGTGACAAGGAGCCAATCAGAAGTTAGCTGGTGGCGCTATGCTTTACGACCCTGGGTGTGCTTTACGGACAAGCGCGCAGCAATGACGTAGAGAGCATAGCAACCACCCTGGGAGGGCCTATGGGCCATAACAACCAGTTGACCAGTCAACACAGGGCAAGCCCTCCAAGCTTGGAAGCACACCAATCGTGAGCCTGTGCGTACCCCTAGACACTCCCCTTACACTATCCTATAAGATCTCTTGGGAGACCCTAGGAGCCGTCTTTTGCTAGCCATCCGCCATGGTGGGTGGGTGAAAGACCCGAGCTAACATGGGGTTAGCTTGTTAAATTACAATAAAGCCTCGTGCAGTTTGCATCAAGCTCTCGAATCCGCCATTGGGGTGACCGCGAACGTGGCCTGGGACCCTGGATACTTGAGTTTTCGGGGGTCTAACAAGATCATGATGTTGGAAGTCATTATGTTAGGCAAAATAAGCCAGATTCAAAAGACAACACCAAATATTTTCCTTTACATGTGAAATAGATTTAAAATTATATATGTGTACACATATACATATATGTGTATATATACATATAAATGTGTCTATTTACACATGTGTGCATGTAGGTCATAAAACTGGAAAGCAGATAAAGAGAAGGGAGGAAGAGATCTCAGGGATGGGGAGAAAGAAGGTACAGAGAACTCATGACAAGAATGTGGGGGACCGAATATCCCTGTTATGGAATATTCTGGGTTCCAGGCCCTGGCCGACATAAACAGCGGTGGTGCCAGGGAACTCCGAGTCACCATTGTATTGTTAATTAACACTAGGATGTTACTGTTTACCATGGCCGAAGGTGATATGCCTCCTAATTTGCATCTCTGTAGCTTAAGCCTTGAGTAGGCCCATACCTGGGCTCAAGACTCTGCCTGCTTGACCAAGAGTTGTTTAGGCAACAGAATCATTTGATGTTAGCGATATGCAATGTGATAAATGCTTCCTGATGTTGTTCCTGCCCTTAGAGGACTATTTAAATGGACCTCTCAATAAACTGTGGTGGCTTGGCGTCAGCTGAGAGCCCTCCTGAGATGATATGGTGTTTCCTGTCTCATCATTAGCATCGTTGGGTAATTAAACTTCCCTAGTCCAAACACCTCCACTCAGAAGCGGACCCGGGACTGTAGACATGTCCTGAAGACATCGGTCCGGAACACAAGAAAGTGGGAGTGTGGTGGGAGGCACAACAGAAGGAAAGGAAGCAGGAGGATGGTAGAGGAGGGGAATAACATATATGTGTGAAAATGCCATAATAAAGCCTGTTATTTTATATAGTAATATTAAAATTAATATAAAAATTAAAAAAATCTAAAAAAATTGGGCTGGAGAGATGGCTCAGTGGTTAAGAGCACTGACTGTTCTTCCAGAGGTCCTGAGTTCAATTCCCAGCAACCACATGGTGGCTCACAACAACCTTGAATGAGATCTAGTGCCCCCTGCTGGCATGCAGGCAGAAGACTATATACGTAATAAATAAATAAAATCTTAAAAAAAAACAAAAAAAATCTAAAAAAATATAAATAAAATTTTATTAAGTTTGCATTAAATTAAGGGTCAAATGTGGGGACAGTCATTCTATTAGGCTAATCCTGCTATTTTCATAAAAGTATTTCTCTTTTGGCTGGGCAGTGGTGGCGCATGCCTTTAGTCCCAGCACTCAGGAGACAGAGGCAGGTGGATCTTTGTGAGTTTGAGGTCAGCCTTGAAATCGAGTTCCAGGACAGCCTCCAAAGCTACACAGAGAAGCCCTGTGTCAAAAACAAAAACAAAAACAAAGCAAAACAACACTAACAAGAAAAAAATTCCCTTTCAGGGGCTGGAGAGATGGCTCAGTGGTTAAGAGCACTGACTGTTCTTCCAGAGGTCCTGAGTTCAATTCCCAGCAACCATATGGTGGCTTACAACCATCTGTAATGGGATCTGGTGCCCTTCTGGCATGCAGGCATATATTCAATGAGATGAAGGGACCAGCTCCCCATTTCAGCAGCCATAACAGCCTAACACGTGCTTGCCTGACCTTGTCTTGGTCACTAGGAGGTCAGATGCCTGCCTCGTGGCAAGGAACCAATCAGAAGTTAGCTGGTGGCACTATGCTTTACAGCTCTGGGTGTGCTTTAGGGACAAGTGCACAGTAATGATGCACAGAGCATAGCAATCACCCTGGGAGGGCCTATGGGCCATAACAACCAGTTGACCAGTCAACACAGGGCAAACCCTCCAAACCTGGAGGCACACCAATCCTATTCCTGTACCCCTGGACACTCCCCTTACACTGCCCTATAAGATCTCTATGCCGTGGCTTCGAGGAGTCTTTCCTAGCCATCTGCCATGGTGGATGGACGAAAGGCCCAAGCTAACATGGGGTTAGCTCATTAAACAATTGCAATAAAACCTCTTGCTGTTTGCATCAAGCTTTTGCCTCCATCTGGTGATTGGGGTGGCCGTGGTCCTGGGCTGAGATCCTGGGGGCCTGAGACTCCAGGGATCTTTCAGAGATCTGGTGCCCTCTGCTGGCATGCAAGCAGAAGACTGTACATATAATAAATAAATAAATAAATAAATAAATAAATAAATATCTTTAAAAAAAATTCCCTTTCAAAGTAAGGAAAAGGAAAAAATTCACTTACTAAAAGTTCCATGGGGAGCTGGGCATTGGTGGCACATGCCTTTAATCCCAGCATTCGGGAGGCAGAGGCAGGTGGATCTCTGAGTTCAAGGTCAGCCTTGTCTACAGAGTGAGTTCCAGGACAGCCTCCAAAGCAATACAGAGAAACCCTGTCTCCGAAAAAAACAAAACAAAACAAAAAATAACAACAACAAAAGGTTCCATGTGGAAATAACTAGGAATGCAGAGAAAGTATTTTTTCTCTTTTTTGTTGAGGCTCTGAAGTTCTAAATGAAAACATTTGACCTAGGAGCAGGCTTACCTGTATTCCAGCATGGCTACAGAGATAGAAGTCAAACTCATACGGGTGAGTAATGTCGGTGTCAACTGTGGTACCAGCTGGGATGTTGCCACTTCTCCCAACCTAGATGATTTTGGATCAAATTTTAAAACAACAAGACAAAAGTTAAAAACAATGTATCAGAAAGTACATTAAAATTGTTCAAATACATAAACCAACCCCCACATTTTACTACTTCCAGCCTGAAATATTACTGTGGTGATATTTTGTTTATGATATAATAAAGTCCAGCATGTAAAGCTAGCCATAGCCATAGAGGCCAGGAAGTGGTGGTACACACATTTAATCCCAGAAGCCACACTAGTTAGCCATAGAGGCTGGGCGGTAGTGGTGTATGACATTAATCGCAGCACTAGAGAGGCATATAAGACAGAAGCTCAGGGTCTCACGTGGCATTCAGTCTCCAGTCTTGCTGAGGACAGGATTGCCCTAGCCTTGGTAGAGGTGAGAACTCTCTAGTGGCCAGCTGCTTTGCTGCTCTGATTTTCAGCTTGAACCCCAATATCTGTCTCTGGGATTTTATTATTTGTGCTACATATTACTTAAGCAACTATTAAGTACAGTCCTCACACAGTTTTAGTTCCTAGTCTTAAAAAAAACTTTTATTATTTTGTGTGTATGGGTGTTTTGTTTGCATGTACATGTGTATTCAGGGTCCATGAAGGTCCGGCAGGGTGGGGGTTCTCTGGGACTGGACTTACAAACGGTTGTGAGCTACCACATGGATGCTGGGAATTGAACCCAGGTTATCTTTTTTTTTTTTTTTTTTTTTTTCCGAGACAGGGTTTCTCTGTGACTTTAGAGGCTGTCCTCGAACTAGCTCTTGTAGACCAGGATGGTCTCAAACTCACAGAGATCCACCTGCGAACCCAGGTTATCTTTAAGAGTAGCCAATGATCTTAAGCCCTGACCTCTATTCTTTTTTATTATTGTTTTTAGACAAAGTTTCACATAGCACAAGATGGCCTCAAACTCACCATGTAGTTAAGGATGAAAAGGTTTATGTGCTGCTGGGGATTGACTCCTGGACTTCATTCATGGTAGGCAAGTACTCTACCAACTGAGCTACAGCCCTAATATTCCCTTGTTCCTTTATTTTTTTTTTGGGGGGGGTGAAGGGTGGGGAGGCTGGTGGGGTTCCAAGACAGGGTTTCTCTTTGGCTTTGGAGGCTGTCCTCGAACTAGCTCTTATAGACCATCAAGATCCACCTGCCTCTGCCTCCCCCAGTGCTGGGAGTGCTGGGATTAAAGGCCTGCACCACCAACGCCCGGCTAGTTCATATTTTTGTAGCTTGCTTTCTTCCTTCCTTCCTTCCTTTCTTTCCCTCTCTCTTCCTTCCTTATTTATTTACTTTGTGTGTATGAGTGTTTTGCTTACATGTATGTCTGTGTGTGTGTCTGGTGCCCACAGCGGTCAGAAGAGGACATTGGATCCCCTGAAACTGATAGCGGATGGTTGTGAGCCACCATGTGGGTAATGTGAGTCAAATTCAGGTCCTCTTCAAGGGCAGCCCATGCTCTTAACCACTGAGCCGACTCTCCAGCCCCAAATATTTCCTTTCCTCTCCTCCCTCCCTTCTTTCCTTTCTTCCTTCCTTTCTTTTGACAGGGTTTCCCTGAGTAACAGCCCTGGCTGTCTGGGAACTCACTCTGTAGCCCAGGCTAGCCTTGAACTCACAGATATCTGCCTGCCTCTGCCTCCTGAGTGCTAGGATTAAAGGTGTGGGCCATCATCACCTGGCTCCAAATATTTCTTAACAAGAGTAGTTGGTAAACATGAAAGAGCTATATAGCTTCTATTGCTTGGTGGATGACAGGGTGAAAACACTTAAGCTCATCTGACATTTATGGTGCATGTGTATTGTGAGTGCTCAAGAAATATGACTATGTGAAATTACCATTTTTCTTGGAGAATACTATATATTAATGAGAAGAAATCTTGGTAACATCACCAAAAGCCAGCAGCATTTGTTAGCCATGCCAGGTTCTTCCTCTTTTTTTGTTTTTTAAAGATTTGTTCTATTTATTTATGTGTATCTGTATGAAAGGATGCCACATGTGTGCAGCTGCTCACAGAAGCCAGAGAAGGTGTTGGATCTCCTGGAGCTGAAGTTTCAGGCAACTTTGAGCAGTCAGTCCACGTGGGTGCTGGGAATTGAACCTGGGTCCTCGGGAAGAGCAGATGCGGAGCCATCTCTCCAGCCCTATGCCAGGTTCTTTAAATACAATAGTTTTATATTTTGATGACAATCCTGTAAGTAAGGTATTATTTGGGGAAGCCAAGGTTCAGGAATATAAAACAATTGCCTACTAGCAAGCAATGAGGGCAGAGCTGGGATTAAAATATGAAATAAACTATAAAGGCTCAATTCTTTTTATTTCCTACTATCAGTTTCAATATTTTACAGGAGATTTTCTCTGATGGACTAAGATGTTTAATAATGAAAAGCTTTCTTTTTTTTTTTTTTTCCTATGCAGACTAGGCTGACCTCAAACTCACAGTGTTTGTGGCTGGCTGGTGGTGGTGGTGGTGGTGGTGGTGGTGCACGCCTTTGATCCCAGCACTTGGGAGGCAGAGGCAGACAGATCTCTGGGAGTTCCAGGCCAGCTTGGTCTACAGATTAAATTCCAGGACAGAGAAATCCTGTCTTGAAAAACCAAAGGACATGGTGTAGTTACATAGCTTGGATTGAGTACTGCCTCTACCGTTGCTAGCTCTGTAATCATCTTGAAAAGTTATTTAAGGTTATATATTCATTTGAAAGATGGGGATAATAATACTAATAACAGACATTATATATAATATGTACTATTATATATAATAGTAATTGAATAGTGTTTGAGAAGATTAAATTAGTTAAACAAAAATGTACTTAGGTTGGGTATACAGCTCAGCGTATACAGCCTAGCAAACACAAGGCCCTGTGTATGATTTCCAGTACCACAAAAAGAAAGGGAGGAGAGGATGAAAGAAGGAAGAAGGGATAGAGATAGGAGAGGGGAGAGGGAAGGAGGGATAGGGAGAAAAGTGAGAAAGGGGAAGGGAGAGACAGACACAGGAAACCTGATGGCGGGGCAGGAGCTGGGCTTATAACAATACTATGACAGATGTAAAATTACCCTTTCTGTTCTGTCAGCACAAAACAATCGTGTATGATGTCTCTTCTGAACTACAATGTAGGTTATTCCAGGTTGATAGTCTTTTTCCAAACTGATACAGGCTTCTCGAATTGCCAGTAGCTCGTAGTATAATACCTAGAGAAGATACAACAGAAAGATTGGATACACCAGTTGTTTCTTTTATTCCAAAGTAAGATAATGATGTAACTTCATGACTTATTTATTTGTATGTTTTTCAAGACAGGGTCTCTCTGTGTAACAGCTCTGGCTGTCCTGGAACTGGCTTTGTAGACCAGGCTGGTCTTGAACTCTCTGCCTCCTGAGTGCTGGGACTACAGGTGTGCAACACCACTCCCAGTGACTTCTCTTATTTTTTTCCATTTTCCCCTCCTGATTCCCCCCATCTTTCCCCCACCCCACACCCCATCCACTCCTCAGAGAGGGTGAAGTCTCCCATGGTGAGTCAACAAAGTCTGTCATCACTTTGAGGCAGGACCAAGGCCCTCACCTCCTATATGTAGGCTGAACTTTGTTTTTTTGAGACAAGTTTTCTCTGTGTAGCCCTGGGTGTCCAGGTTGTTGACCAGCCTGTTGACCAGGCTGGCCCTAAACTTAAGATCTGCCTGCCTCTGCCTCCTGAAGGCTGGAATTAAAGGTGTGCCATCCTCACCTGGTTATATCCATTTTATTTTAAGTCATGTGTCTGTGTGTGGGTGTGAGTTTATTCACATGACTACAGGTGCCCTGGATGCCAGAAGAGAGCATGAGATCCCCTGGAGTCACAGGTTGTAGTCAGCCATCTGATGTGGGTGCTAGGATCCGAACTCAGGTCCTCTGCAAGAGCAGCAAGCCCTCTTAACTGCTAAGCTACCTCTCCAGCCCGGCCTCAGGACTTCTTAACATGATCTATTTTACAGCTCAATATGCTTCTCCGTTTCATTTTAACTATGAGCAAAGTAATGAAGGAACATTTCAAAAGGGAAAATTTACTGAGACATCAGCTTGGGTGTTTGTGAATTTTTAATTTTGGGTGTTCACCTTCAGATATCACATCATAAACATAACATTTGATTTACTTATGGTCTAAATCTATTCCAGGCAACCAACCTGTCTAAATTGTCCTTCTGAAACACCATCCCGATAAAAGATAATGCGAGTAGGTTTGAATCGGGTTGACTTATAAAATTGGATGAGCAGTTCCCGGACCATGGAGGCCAAGTCCTGGATGATTTCCTGCCGGGGTCTCTGAACTCTTACTGTGGCACAGTATCTGCTTGGATGGGCATCCATACTACCTACAACCTAGGTTGGAAAAAGAAAAAATTAAAATAGTCAAAACTAAACTGTCTTCATTTACACATGTATTTTAATGTGGTCTTACTGTTTATCATAATTTACTTCGAAAGTAACAACAAACAACAGTCAGACAATTCTCAGTAAAGAACAGAATAAAAGACTACAACAGTGTCAAAAACAATTAGGCAGCATTTATCCTTTTCCACTGCCATGCGTGTACGGTATGCAAGCCTGCATAGTCATGTTTTGCATATGTTTGGGCATATGTATATGATGCCCCTACATGGAGTATGTGTATGTAGGACAGACAGTTATAGGAGATTTAAGGAAGTTAAATAGGTGTATTGTATAGTACCTGTACCCCCTAAACCAGAATAAACTCTCAAACCCAAAGAGCAATAATAAGAGTTGGCTACAAGAAAAATCATTAAAGAATTGCAAAGATTAAACACTAACTCCCCCAACCCCCAAAGCAAAATACAAATCAGTGCTGGAGAGGTGGCTCAGTAGTTAAGAGCATTGGCTGCTCTTGTAGGAGACCCTGGTTCAGTTTCAAACACCCACATGGTGGCTCACAACTGTCTGTTAACTCCAATTTCAGGGAATCCAATGCCCTCTGGCCACCATGGGGACTGCCCACATGTAGTGTTCAGACACACATGCAGGCAAAACACTCATATACATAAAATAAAAAATTAAATTTTAAAAGAGAAAAACCAGTAGGGTGTTGGTGGTGCACACCTTTAATCCCAGCACTCAGGAGGCAGAGGCAGGCAGATCAGTCTACAAAGTGAGTTCCAGGAACTGGTTCCAAAGTAATACAGAGAAACCCTGTCTCAAAAAACCAAAATAAATAAATAAATAAATAAATGAGAGAGAGAGAGAGAGAGCGCGAGAGAGAGAGAGAGAGAGAGAGCGCGAGAGAGAGAGAGAGAGAGAGAGAGAGAGAGAGAGAGAGAGAAACGAAATCATCCAAGCAATAAATGGGTCAATGAAGTGAACACACAGTTCTGAAGAAACACAGGATCAGAGATAGCTCAGCAGGGAAAGGCACCCTGCAGCCAAACCCAACAGCTGAATTTCATCTTTGGGATCCACATGGTGGAAGGAGAATTATCTCCTGCAAGTTGTCCTCTATCTCCACATGCCTGCCGTAGGACGAATGTGTACCTCTCCCCACAAATAAATGTAATAATAAAGAGGAAATACAAATAGCCAATAAGCAAACTTGAAAAAGGGTTCAACATCCTTAACCATAAGGGAAATGAAAAATGCTGTGATTCCATCTCACCCAGTCAGAACAGCTAACACCAACAAACAAATGACAATAAATGCTGGCCCATCTTTGGTGGGAATGGATACTTGAGCAGCTACAACTGACATGAGTTGACAGGTTTTTGAAAAACTGGAAACAGAACCACCACATGACTTAGTTATACCACTCTTGAGTCCACACCTGGAGAACTAACTTAAAAGTCAACACAGACCACAAAGATACTTGTGCTTCCTTGTTTGAGGATGACGTCACAATAGCTAGGAAACCACACCAGCTTAGATGTCCATAATCAGATGAATGGATACAGAAAATGGGGTGCAGGGTGAGTGCCAGGGATGGAACTCAGATTGTCAGGCTTGGTGGAAGGAGACAGCCAACACCTGCAGGTTATTTTCTGACCTCTGACCTCTACATTCATGTTCCCCAAATAAATAAATAAATAAATAAATAAATAAATGTAATAAAAAAGAAAATGTGGTACATGTATATACAATGGAATTTTATGTAGATATAAGGAAAAATGAAATCATGATCAGAAAAATGGATACAATGGGAATCAATATTAATGTTAAGTAAAATAAGCTACTCTTGGACAGACAACTCATGTTCTCTCTCATATACAGAACCTAAGTTTTAAATTTTATTTTATATATATCTCTTATTTATAAGGGGACTAACTGGGAGAATACAGGGCCTAGCTAGAGAAGGGAGGGGGGCTGGAGAGAGCAAAGAAGGAAGAAAGTGACTGAGAAAATCATACTGGCCATATGTATGAAGAAGCCATAAGGAGACTCTTGCTATGCTAATGCAAAAGATTTTTTATTTTATTTTATTTTTTTTTGTTTTTTTTGAGACAGGGTTTCTCTGTGTAGCTTTGGAACCTATCCTAGTACTTGCTCTGGAGACCAGGCTGGCCTCGAACTCACAGAGATCTGCCTGCCTCTGCCTCCCGAGTGCTGGGTTAAAGGCGTGCACCACCAACGCCCGGCTGATGCAAAAGATTAATAAAAAGAAAATATCAAAATTTGAAATGTGTAAACCAAAGTGTTACTTTCAGTGTGGTCTTCATATGAGGCAGACTTGTCTATCAATACTCACAGCAGCAATGGAGGGCTTCTTCCCATCACCAGCAGGTGGGTGAGTGACATCTGCGCCCAGGAAGATCACTGGTTGCTGGAACACAGAAGGTCTTAAACACATTTTTTTAAAGGGTTAGACAGTTCATCTGTTTCACATGATTGCCATACAACTGCAAGCCACTGACAGTCCAGAGGATCCCGCTACAGACAACACACAGCTTCACAGACCTCAACTTCTGACTAACTCTTGATTTGTTTGTTTTTCAAGGCAGGGTTTCTCTGTGTAGTTCTGGCTTGTCCTGGAATTCACTATGTAGACCAGGTTGACCCTGAACTCAGATCTGTCTGTCTATGCCTCCTGAGGCCTGGCATGCGCCACCACATCCAGCCTGACAAACTGTTAGTTCATGAATCTACACCTCTCTGAATCTTGTAAGAATATTTTAAACAGTGGTACTGTGGTTGCAAAAGACAACTGAAGCTAATATTTTATGTAATGGGGACAAAATGATACATTTCTTTAGAGTAGGTTATTACATTTTATTCATTTTAAAAAATCTACTTACATTTTAAGTCTATGAGACTTAAGGACAAAGAATCAGCAAGCCTTTGACTTTTAGTTTTAGTCTACTTTACACATTTAGGCAGGGATTATAGGCATCTACTATTCTCTGGACCAAATAAAATTTGAGTGCATATTTAATAATAATAAACTTCTTAGCAATTTCTTATATATTAAAACTTCATCCTAAGGACTGGGCTGAGAGATGGCTCAGCGGCTGTTTACCCAGAGAGAACTGGGGTAAATGCTCAGCATCCCACATGGTGGCTCACAATTTGTAATTTCAGTACTGGGAGGAGCCAACACCTTTCTCGGGCCTCCACAGGTTAAAACCATTTTTTTTGTTGTTGTTTTGGGTTTTTCTTTTTCTTTTCTCAAAAATTTATTTACTTATTTTTATTACATATACAGTGTTCTGTCTGCATATTTGCCTGCACACCAAAAGAGGGCACCAGATCTCATTGTAGATGGTTGGGAACCACCATGTGGTTGCTGGGAATTGAACTCAGGACCTCTAGAAAAGCAGTTCAGTGCTCTTAACCTCTGAGCCATCTCTCCAGCCCTTGTTTTAGGTTTTTCAAGACAGGGTTTCTCTGTGGCTTTGGAGGCTGTCCTGGAACTAGCTCTTGTAGACCAGGCTGGTCTTGAACTCACAGAGATCCGCCTGTCTCTGCCTCCCGAGTGCTGGGACTAAAGGTGTGTGTTTAATCTTTGAGTTCTGTCTCCAACTCCAGCAATCTATCTCTCTCTCTTTTTTTTTTTGTTAAAGATTTTATTTATTATGTATACAATGTTCTGCTTGCATGCATGCTTGCAGGCAGGAAGAGGGCACCAGATCTCATTATAGATGGTTGTGAGCCACCATGTGGTTGCTGGGAATTGAACTCAGGACCTCTGGAAGAGCAGTCAGTGCTCTTAACCTCTGAGCCATCTCTCCAGCCCTCCAGCAATCTCTTAACCTTGTTAAATTTTCTATGCAGTTCACAGGAAGAACCACTAAAGTTGCCTCTAATATCTGGTAATAGTTAGTTAGGCCTATGTAGAAGAACAAATAGTGAAATAGAATAGCTTACCTTTGATGAGGTACAAGAATATTATTGATTCCTCCAAGTTTAACATTGATCTTTAGGCACAAATTTGATAGAGTTTGAGGAGATGTTTTTATTACATTCTTGACTTGCACACACTGTGTGGCCATACCCAAAAGTGTATCTCCTACACGCTTCACCTCCGCTATGGAACAAATTCGAATGTCACAGTCAGAAAAGAAGACACCAGAAACGTGAGTTCACTCACTGACAATCAGGCTATGCAGGGTACCCTGAAATATATCAAGGTATATTATAGGGTTCCTGAAATTATACCAGTACTAAAACAGTGCATTTAAAATGCATGGAAATTTTAAGCATTAACTTATAATTTTTCTTTTTTCTTTTGGTTTTTTGAAAAAGAGGGTTTCTCTGTGGCTTTGAGGCTGTCCTTTGAGGCTGGTCTTGAACTCAGAGATCCACCTGCCTCTGCCTCCTGAGTGCTGGGACTAAAAGTGTGCACCACCACCACCTAGCAACTTATACTTTTATTGGCTTATTTTTGTATATGAAAAGTATATCTAAAAATTTATACTTTTAGCTAGGCAAGGTGGCACATGCCTTTAATCCCAGCACTGGCAGAGGTAGGTGGATCTCTGGGTTTGAAGACATCGTGGTCTACAGAGTGAGTTCCAGGACAGTCAGAGATAACCAGAGAAACTATTTTGGAAAAAAGAAAAAAATAATAAAAATTTACACCCTGTTCTTTTTTTTTTCCTCCAATTTTTTATTTAAATTAGAAACAAGATTGTTTTAATGTCAATCCCAGTTCCCTCTACCTCCCCTATACTCTGTTGTTCTCTTTCTTTCTTTCTTTCTTTCTTTCTTTCTTTCTTTCTTTCTTTCTTTCTCTCTTTCTCTGTGTGTGTGTGAGTGTGTGTATGCGTGTGTGTGTGTGTGTGTGTGTGTGTGTGTGTGTGTGTGTGTGTGTGTATAATGTGTGTGATGTGTGCATATGTAGAGGTCAGAGGGCAACTCTGAGGGTTGGTTCTCCTCTTCCAACTTAACATGGGCTCCAGAGATCACACTTAGGTCATCAGGTTTGCATGGCAAATGCCTTTACCTGCTGAGCTACCTTGACAACCCAGAAAAGTACATTTTTTAAACTGAAGGAAAAGAGAACATGCCTCACTCAAATTTAAAGGATTATTAAGTTGAGGACAATTAAGATGCAGAAGAAAGGGGTGGATCCAGGAGAAGGTGGAATTCACTGTATGCATGTACTAAATTATGAAAGAATAAATTAAAGTATTATATTTAAAAAGATGCAGAGGAACTCTGTAGCTAAGAACTAGTACTAGTCTTACAAAGAACTTGAGTCTGGGTTCTACCATCACATCAGGTGGCTCACAACACCTTTAAGTCCAGCTCCAGGAAATTATACACCTCTGGACTCCATGAACACCTGTACTTGTACGCAAATACCCACAGAGACACACATACACAAATGGGATTTAAAATAAAATAAATTTTTTAATTATGAAAAATTATGTGTATGGTTTTACCTGCATGTCTGTGTAATGCATGTGTCTGGTGCTTGAGGAGGCCAGTAGAGGGCATTATATTCCATGGAACTGGAGTTACAGATACTTGAGAGTCATGTGTGGGTGCTTGAAGTTGAACCCAGGTTCTCTGGCAGAGAAGCCAGAGCTCTTAATTTCTGAGACATCTCTCTGACCCAAAATATCTGTTTTAAAGGCAGGCATTTAATTGGGACTTGCTTATAGTTTCTACATATGGATCCACAGGCAGCAGTAAGAGAAAGACTCTGGGCCTGGCTTGAGCTTTTGAAACCTCAAATCCCACCCCCAGTGACACACTTCCTCCAACAAGGCCATGCCTCCTAATCCTTCATAAGATTCACCACTCCCTGATAACTAAGCATTCAAATATATGAACATATGGAGGCCATTCTTTCTTTTTTTTTTATGGTTTTTCGTGACAGGGTTTCTCTTTGGTTTTGGAGGCTGTCCTGGAACTAGCTCTTGTAGACCAGGCTGGTCTCGAACTCACAGAGATCTGCCTGCCTCTGCCTCCCGAGTTTTGGGGCTAAAGGCATGTGCCACCACCGCCTCGATGTTTTCCTTTTTAAAAAAATATTATTTTTAGCTGGGCATTGGTGGTGCACGCCTTTAATCCCAGCACTCGGGAGGCAGAGGCAGGCGGATCTCTGTGAGTTCGAGGCCAGCCTGTTCTCCAGAGCGAGTGCCAGGACAGGCTCCAAAGCTATACAGAGAAACCCTGTCTTGAAAAACCAAAAAAAAAAAAAAAAAAATTATTTTATATCTGTGAGTGTTTTGGCTACATGGATGTCTTTGTACCACATGTATATGTGATGCCTATGGAGACAAGAAGAGGATATTAGATCCCCTGGAAATGGAGTTACAGCTGTGAGCTGCCATGTGAATGCTGGGAATTGAAGCTGGGTCCTCTGGAAGAGCTCTTCACCACCAAACCAGTGTTCTTGCCCTCCTTCCTTCCTCTTTCTTTTGGAGGGGAGGGGGTATCTGTAGGTGCGCACACATTTATTTATCTATTTATTTATTTATTTATTTATTTATTTTTGTTTTTTTGAGACAGGGTTTCTCTGTGGCTTTGGAGGCTGTCCTGTAACTAGCTCTTGAAGACCTAGCCTCCCGAGTGCTGGGATTAAAGGCGTGTGCCACCAATGCCCGGCGTGCTCACGCATTTTTCTTTTTTTTGGCTTCAGATGAAGACATTTAATATCAGTAGCTTTTCTAAGTCAGATTTCTTCTTAGTTGATGGTTCTCACTCGGTGTCTTCTTGGTGCTGTAGCTCAGATGTCAGCTTGGGTTATAATTATGTAAGAACCCAAGTGTGGATGCATGTGTGTGCACATGTGTCTGCATGTATGCATTGGAGGCCACAAGTTGATATAAGGTGTCTTCTTCAATCACTCTTCCCTTTGTTTTATGAGACAGGGTCTCTCACTGAATGTGGAGCTCACCATTGGCTAGACAGGCTGACCAGCAAGCCCAGAAATTCCTGTTTCTGTCTCTCCTGTGTGGGGATTATCGGTGCTTGCTGCCGTGCCTGACTTTTTTATGTGGGTTCTTGGGGATCAAAATCAGGCCCTCATCCTTGCACAGCAAACACCACACTGATTGAACTATCTCCCTACCCTCACTTCTGTCATTTCTAAGGTAAATTTATTTTATTATGTTTTCCTCAATTTTTTCATGAATCAAGGAGTTACCTTTATTTTATTAATCTCACAAAACTTTGCTTTGTATATAGTCATATAAGGTTATTATAGTATTTCTCAGTTCCACAGGTGAAGAAAGTAAAGCTTACTACAGTTAGGTAATTATAGCATGAATTCTAATCAATATTAATAATAAAAAACCCAGAGTCAGATATTAATTGGGGAAAGCTGAAAGATCAGAGAAGCAAAACAGCCAGCTACTAGTTCTTACCTCTGCTGAATCCTCAGACCAAAGGGGTGATCCTGATCCTGTCTCTAGGAATCCTCAGACCAAAGGGGTGATCCTGTCTCTAGGAATCCTCAGACTGCACTGCTTCTGTCTCCTCCCACCTTATATTCCTCTCTCCACCCAGCCATATCCCTTCCTGTCTTGTCTCCACCTCCTTAGTGCTGCGATGACTTGCATGTCCTCATTCCAAGTGCTGGGATAACCTTTGCGTGAGCTCTGTTTCTCTTTTAGACTGGATCAATTTTGTGTATCCCAGGGTGGCCTTGAACCCACGGAAATCCATCTGCCTCTGTCTCCCGAGTGTTAGGATTAAAGGTGTGTGCTACCACTGCCTGGCCTCTATGGCTAACTAGTGTGGCTAGCTCTACACTCTGAACTTCAGGTAAGCTTTATTTGTTATGCCATAAACAAAATATCACCACAGGTAATTCAGCCACATCACACAGGTAGTACAACCAGCACTATCTGAACAATGAGCAACACAGTCCTATCTCCAGAATCTGTGCTTTTAACCTACTACCTTATCCTGCTACTCAAGTTACTCCAAGGCAATTTTATTACACAATTCTTCCCTTAACCATTGCTTGTGATGTCTCTTTTAGTTACTAAAATTCATTTCCCAGAGTCCTCTTTTCCACTACGTAGCTTACAGACTTCGCCTTAAAGTAATAATATGTGGTTTTAAATACAATGGTATAAATATATTTTAGTATTTGAAAATTTTAGGCTATTTAATTCTAAAAACAATGTTAAGTAGGAAAAGGGGGAAAATGCAGTATTTCTGCTGTAGTGCTGGAGATCAAACCCAGGTCTGTGTGCATCTTAGGCCAGTGCTCTAGTAATGAGCTATGTGGAGATATATTGTTTATGATCTAATAAAATCACTGAGGATCAAAATGCAAAGCCAGCACACTAGTTAGCTATTGAAGCTAGGCGGTGGTGGTATACACCTTTAATCCCAGGACTCAGGAGAAAGAGGCAGACAGATCTGTTAGTTCAAGGACATACTGAGCTACATGAAATTGATCCAGTCCTAAAGAAAAACAGCTGACACAAAGGAGAGCTCAGCACTTGGGATCACACACCTTTAATCCCAGCCATAGAGATGTATATAAAAGACAGGAGCTCAGTGTCTCAGGCTGCATTCTAAGATTTAGTTTCCAACCACACTGAAGAGAGGCAACAGTCTGAGGCTTGGTGGAGAGCTCCATGGAGACAGGATTAACCCTTACAGTCAGAGGTAGAGTTAAGAGCTAGTGGCCAGCTGCTTTGTTTCTCTGATCTTCAGCTCAAAGTTGAACTCCAATATCAGTCACTGGGTTTTTATTTTTCCTGTTACAGAGCTGAACTCTCACTCCTGAAAAATGCAGTTGTAAAATGTCCTTACCATACACAGGTGTCTTTCCTGGCAGGATGACGATAATGAGCTGCAGTCCTGAATATGTATTCTTAAGATGTCGGAACATGGGCTCCACACTGTCTGCTCCCTGTGCATATTTGCAGAAGCATGGCTGGCCTTGGATAGGCATCCCTGCATCCTTGGAAATCTTTCGAAGCTGGTCCGTGAAACCTCTAAAGAAGGTGAAACCACTAAATAGAAAACCTTTGTAGAAAATACTTTCTCTTTTGATTGTGTAGTATTAAGGATTGAACGCATGATCTTGTGTGTTTACTCTGCACTGAGCTGTATCTCCAGCTCCAAACCTACCACACAGTAATGAAAAGTTTAAGAAAGAAATGGAAGCTGGGCATGGTGGCATAGACCTTTAATTTCAGCACTTGGGAGGCAGAGGCAGTGAGTTTGAGGCCAGCCTGCTCTGTAAAGCAAATCCAGGACAGCCAGGACTATATGGAGAAACCCTGTTTGGAAAAACCAGGAAAGAAGAGGGAGGGGGGAGGAAACAAGGAAGAAGGGAAGAAAGAAAGAAAGAAAGAAAGAAAGAAAGAAAGAAAGAAAGAAAGAAAGAGAAAGAAAGGAAGAAGAAAGAAAGGAAAGGAAGGAAGGAGGGAAGGAAGGAAGGAAGGAAGGAAGGAAGGAAGGAAGGAAGGAAAAGAAAGGGAGGATGAAGCACAGATTGCTTTGTGTGCTTGCTCCATATACAAAAGGTTACCAGAAGCCGGGCGTTGGTGGCGCACGCCTTTAATCCCAGCACTCAGGAGGCAGAGGCAGGCGGGGCTCTGTGAGTCCGAGGCCAGCCTGGTCTACAGAGCGAGTGCCAGGATAGGCTCCGAAGCTACACAGAGAAACCCTATCTCGAAAAACCAAAAAAAAAATTTTTTTAATTTAATGCCTTTTTGATCTTAACCAATGGCTATAATTTTTGAAGTCTCAGGTATAACAAATAAATTTACACACTTATTTCTTTATAATTTCTTTCCTTTTTTTTGAGACAGGGTTTCTCTGTGTAGCTCTGGCTGTCTTAGAACTCACTCTGTAGATCAGGCTGGCCTTGAGTTCAAATATTCACCTGCCTCTGCCTCCTGAGTGCTGAGATTAAAGGTGTGCAGCACAACGCCATGCTTTTTAATTTCAAGAATAAAATACTCATTTTTTAAAAAAAAGATTTTATTTACTTATTATGTATACAACATTCTGCTTCCATGTACATCTGCACACCAGAAGAGGGCACCAGATCTCATAATGGATGGTTGTGAGCCACCATAAAATACTCATTCTTTTTTTGGTTTTTCGAGACAGGGTTTCTGTGTGTAGCTTTGGAGCCTATCCTGGCACTCCCTTTGGAGACCAGGCTGGCCTCCAACTCACAGAGATCCGCCTGCCTCTGCCTCCCGAGTGCTGGGATTAAAGGCGTGTGCCACCAACGCCCGGCCTTCATTCTTAATGTATATCTTTGAAACTGTAGCATGAAATTTTTCCTTTCCTTATCAAGTTGACAACTTTTGCCTTTTTGCTTCAATGAGTTCTAGGCCAATGAGAGGCCCTGGTCAAAAAGGAAGTGGATAATGCCTGGTGAATGTCATTTTAGGCTAATTTCTGGCTATACATGCACAAACAATGCACACCCACATATATACATACACTTGCACATGTGTGGGTACACACACACAAATTATTTTTTGAGACTGGGTCTTGCTAACTTATGGTTCTCCTGCCTCAGCATCCCATGTAACTGGAATGATAGGTGATCCCAGCTGGATGGAAGAAATAGTTTTAAAGGTTCATTGGTTAAATATACTCCATATAGAGGCAACATTTATTAGAATATGAGATGAATAATTTAAAATTGGAATTCAGGGCTAGAGGTGTAGTTCAGCTATACTATATATATATATTTGTAAATTCCAAACACAAAATCCCCAAACCAAACCAAGGCAACAGCTTACTTCAGTATTTCCTCTCTGCACTGCCTCTGTGTGGCAAAACAGGCTATGGCCCACATTTTGATTTCAACTCCTGTGTGGAATTGTTTTCCTCGCATGTCCCACACACCGTGGCTCGGTGTTGCCACTGTCCGGTTCTGTAAGAGAAATAACATCACAGAAAAACAAAAACATTACCAGACAATGAATTTTGGTGAGCTCAAGTAAGCATTTCAAATTGCTGAACTGATACATTCTTCATACTCTATATGGAGTTGACTGTTCTAAATCAATGTTATTTATACAGTTAAAACCTAAGAGGCCAGCAAGATGGTTCAGCAAATAAAGACAGTTGATGTCCCCAAGCCTGATGACCTGAGTTTGACACACACACCACACACAAGAACTCATATGGCAGGAGAGGACTCAACTTCCTCAAGTTACCCTCTGACTACCACACGTCCACCCTTCACAATAAATAAATAAATGTGAAAAAATTATTTATGCTAAACTCAAGCAAAGAAATCCACATTGAAACAAATAAAACACCTGATGTATTGTTGGAACAATAAAACAGTAAGTTCAAGGCTTAGATTACCATCTCTCCACGCTTAGCAAATTATACATGTATGTCTGATTAAAACATTGCTGACACGCTTTACCCGTCCTCCATACTGGAGCATAGGTGCTGGAAGGACACGTCCGGTTACATGAGCCATTTCATCCCGCACTTTAAATTGAAACTCCTGAACGAATGGATCTGTTTCATAGTTTGCACTTCTTACCTAGCAACAGAAAAGATTTCTCATTATTCTCAGACCTTCTCTGAACTGATTGCTTTACTTGCTAGAACCTCCTCTTTCCCTTTCACTATGCTGACCATATATTTTCTAACAAGAAGAATCACTGCTGCTCTGACTATAAAGCAGAGAATATTATCATGCAAATTGTAAAGTCAGGGACTGTGAGAAATCTATCAACACCTTGGTAATTTATTCACGATAAATGGATTGATATTAGGTTGAATAATACACTTTAATTATTTGTGACCAATGAAAATGATAATTTTAAATAATTAAGTAATCTCAAAAGAGAAGAATACTTATCTAAAATGGGATAAGAATCTTCTGATTGATTGGGCAGTGGTGGTGCACACCTTTAATCCCAGCACTTGGGAGGCAGAGGCAGGTGGATCTCTGCGAGTTTGGTCTTACACATTTTAGGAGACTTTTAAAACTGTATTGTAATACAATTAGACAGAAATCTAGAGTGACAATCAACCTTTATTTTCCTAATTAAACAAGATGTAATAACTACCATTCACTTTTTATAGAATTATAAGGCAAAGGAATAATTGTTATTAGCTTACAAAATGAACACTTTTTTGTGTCTGTGTGAATGTCTGTATGTATAGATGAGCATTCTGTGCCTGCTTGGTGTCTGTAGAGACCAGAAGAGTGTTGGATTCCTGGAACTGGAGTTACAAGCAATTATGAGCCACCATATGAGTGCTGGGATCCAAACCTGGGTCCTCTGCAATATCAGCAAGGGCTTAACTGGCTGGACCATCTCTCTAGCCCAGAAAGAATTTCTGATCTGTTTTTGTTTGGTTGGTTTTGAGAATGAGCAAATTTATTTGGGACATTTGCTACAGCATCTGCAGCCAGTTTTTTCCCTCTTGCGTAATTATTACGGCTAAGATGACATGCAGTTGGGTAGATGGGAGTGTTGAATGGAATCTTGGAAGGGCCTTCCATGCCCCTAGTATCATAGCCACTGACCTAACTACTAGTCAGTTCTGTAGGCAATCACAACCTAACTATACTAGTTTTGGGGAAAAAATATAGCTCACAATGTAAGACTTGGGCTTCTAGAATAAGAAGTGTACAACAGCCCAGAACCTGGATTCCCCAACAGAAGGTTGTGTAGGTGGTTCAGCAGGTTCTTGGTCAGGTAACAGTAGGCACACCTGTGAGGCCCATGACCTAGAGCTGTATCTACACTCGTCCAGGCCTGCCTTGGGGCACTGAACGGGGCCATGTTTCCTTCTGGAATGGCTGGGCATTCTGCCCAAGGCCACATGACAATCAGCTTTAGTCACTCATCTTCCTGAAACCTTCTCTCTGCACAGGCCTCTCTTCTACCTCACAGTGAGCGTGTGCAAGACTATCAGAGGCTTGGGATAGCCAACTACTAGGACAGAGGTGGTCCCACAGCTAGTGTTCAGGGAATTGACAGGCACCGCAGATTGTCAGGCTGCAGTCCCTCAAATGTTCACAGTTCAGAACACTGAGCACAGACATAGCCTCTCTCCTCTCTGCCATCTACTGAAGCACATGAAACAGATATCTGTATGGTCTCTCAGGGCAGTATGTGCTGGATAGGTTTCTGCCAACTTGACACTTCTATAAGATTGGGCTGGAGGGCATTTTCTTAATTAGTGATTGATGAAGGAGGGCCCAGCCCATAGTGGTCCAAGGTTCTATATGAAAGGAGACTGAACAAGCCATAGGGAGCAAGCCAGTAAGCAGCACCCTCCATGGCCTCTGCATCAGCTCCTGCCCCCAGGTTCCTGCCCTGACTTCCTTTGATGACAAACAGTGAGGTAGAAGTGTGAGCCAAATGAGCCCTTTTCTTCCCCCCAAGTTGCTTTGGTCATGGTGTTTCATCACAGCAATAGCAACTCTAAGGTAGTGTTTGTTTTTCACTTTTATGTAGCTAAGGCTGATCTCAAACTCAAACCTGTTATATGGCTGAAACTGATCTTGAACTAATCTTCCAGTTTCTGTTTCCCGAGTACTGGAATTGCAGGTATGTGCTACCACAATGGTTTTACATGATGCTGGGGATTGAAGCCTTTTCCATGCTAGGCAACATTTAGTCCCTCAATTGTGCATGTGACATATAATTATCAAACTATTTTAAATTTTTGTTTAACAAGACAACAGAAACTGTTTCAAAAACAAAACATGTAAAGTAGTATTAACACCTGAGCAAATGCTGGGTGTGATGGCACATGACTTTAATACCAGCACTTAGGAGGCAGAAGCAGGTTGATCTCTGTGAGTTCAGGGTTAGGGTTAGGGTTAGGGTTAGGGTTACAAAGTGAGTTCCAGGGCAGCCAAGACTGTTACATAGGGAAACCCTGTCTTGAAAAACAAAAACAAATCAAACCAAAACAAAATAACAAAATAAAACAAAACAACAACAACAAAAACTTCTGAAAGTGCTAGTAAATTGTTTGGGGAATATATTCATATTTATTGATTCCATCACCCCTTGTTTGTCCAGACAGGTTAAATAATATTCAGGGGAGAGTGACACAAGATTCAGGATTCCTTAAAAAACAAAACAAAAAACTCACCCCACTTTGAGTATTCTATCAATAATAAGAATAAATAAACATTTAATCTATAATTAAAAAATTTGTGTGTGTATGTATATGTGTGCATGTGTGTATATATGTGTGTGTGTGTGCCCAATGTGTACCCAGGTGCCTGTGGAGTCCAAGAGATAGTGTCAGATTCCCTATGCTAGAATCACAGGCACTTGTGAGCCTCCTGATGTAAGTCCTCTCCCAAAGCAGCAAATGTTCTTAACCACCGCTCCATCTATCCAGCCTCTATTTATTTACTTATATCAAGTTTTAGAAATAGATAATACTGTGTTTTTTAACTTTAAAATATTTTATCATGAATAGAACTTTATAGGAAAATGGGAAAGAAGGGTTGATGAGATGGCTTGGTGAGTAAAGCTCCTGCCTCCAAGCTCGATGACCTGAGTTCAACCCTGACCACTGGGACCCACATGGAGGAAGAAGAGAACTGACTCTAAGTCTACCTTATCATTTCTGAGGTCTCATTTATTAATATAATTGTCTTCATGCAATGTGTAACATAAGCATTTCCTATGTTGCTGCAATCTCTTAATGACAGTAATTTTATTAATTTTATCTTGTGACTATGTAACAGAAGTGCCTGGAGTTGGGAAGTGGTAAGTCACAGAACGAATCAGTAGAGGTAGTCAACTGAGACTGCTGACTGTTGGCTTCAGGACTCATCTTTGGAAGTCCTCCTTAGTGTCTACAGCATCACTGTGTCCATCTCAAAGGTAACATGCCCAGAAGACACTAGATCTATGCCTTTCTGAGTATCCCCAATCCCATGGTAAGACAAGTGGAGCTAAATATGGGGCTGGTGATGGGTTCTGTCTCTTTCCCCAGAGCTCCTAGGTGCTTGAAAAATGAAGGGGTGACTGTACCTCCAGCCTTGGTCTTGGCAGTCTCTTCAGCATCTGTTTGCTGCTGTTTGCTGACTGCAGTCCTCAGGAAGGCCTGAAGTGTCATGTCACTGAGCTCCCCAGAGGGTATGCCATACTCAGTTCCTTGGGGAGTATCTCTCCCATTTCCCTGTGCTCGGAATTTCCTGGGAGAACCTAGACAGCACGTCTTCTCTGTATTTTTTTCCTCCTTTCCTTATTTTTGGAGTGTGGTGGTTTGAAAGAAAATGGCACCCATAGGGAGTGGCACTATTAGGAGGAGTAGTCTTGTTGGCGTTGGTGTGGTCTCATTAGAAGAAGTATGCACTGTAGAGGCAAGCTTTGAGGTCTTATATATGCTCAAGCCACGCTAGTGAGACAGACTGCTTCCTGTTGCCTGCCTATCAAGATGTAGAACTCTCAGCTGCAGCACCATGTCTGCCTGCACACCACCATGTTGCACCATGATGATGAGGGACTACACCTCTGAAAATCTAAGTCACTCCAATTAAATTTTTCCTTTATAAGAGCTACTGTGTTCAGCTGGGCAGTGGTGGTGCATATCTTTAATACCAGCACTCAGGAGGCAGAGACAGGTGCATCTCTGAGAGTTTGAGACCAGCCCTGGACTACAGAGTGAGTTCCAAGACAGACTCCAAAGCTACAGAGAAATCCTGTCTCAAACAACAAACAAAAAACCCCAAACAAACAACAACAACAAAAAAAAAGAGTTGCTGTGGTCATGGTGTCTCTTCACAGCAATAGAAAAGCTTACTAAGACATAGAGACAGGGTCTCTCCATGTACTCCTGGCTATCCTGGAGCTTGAAGCTATATAGAGCAGGCTGGCTTGTAACTCAAGAGAGATCCTCTTACTCCTGCCTCCTGAGAGCTGGGATTAAAGGATTCTCTACCACTCCCAGCCTTCTCCACATTTATTTTGCAATAGTAATCATCGTGGTTTGCTTTGGGGATGGAGAAGTTGCCAATGTATGGAAAAACTTGCATTTTCCATTCTGGTAGAATCTGACATTGTTCAGGAGGTGGTTGTTCTAGCCATGGTATATCAGCAGGATGGTTTTCCCTTTCTGGAACACCAGTTGAGGGGCCTGGAGCAGCAGACAGTTTTTGTTTTGTTTTGTTTTGCCAAGAGCCTTGTAAAATCCACTGTGTATTTTTATTGGGCACAACATGATGTTTTGGAGTATATATACACTGTGGAGTAGTAGTGTGAATTTTATCAAGTGATACTACTAGCATCCTGCCCCTCACTTCTACAAGACATGGGGCGCCCTGCATTATTGAAACTGGTTTGTTGTTGAGACAGGTTCTTATTCTGCAGTCTGGGTTGGCCTCCAACTAATGGTAATCCTCCTGCCTCAGCCTCCCAAGGGCTGGGATTACAAGGCCTAGTTTGTTTGTTTGTATATGAGGTTGTCTATGTAGCCCAGAAAGGCCCAGAATTTGGATGATCCCCCCTGCCTCATCCTCCAGATAGATGGGATTATAGGCATGAGGTATTCGGTTTCAGTCTGACACTGGTAGCTAAGAAATTCTAGATTGACTGTTAACATTATATTTTCAGTATTTCTCATTATAATACTTTGATGTTTCCCCTTTGCCCTTCTTTTAGGTGGGGGTTCAGTTAACTTTTGATGAGTCTGTTCCCTAGATTTAAATGGTCTAGAGTTGAATTAGAAGCACCAAACCCTTCTCATGTAATTTACTAATGTTTACCCCCCTCTCCCACACCATACATTACTCCATGATACATGTCTCTCTTCTGCTTCTTCTTGAGACAAGGTCTCACTGTGCAGCTCTGGCTGTCCTGGAATTCGCTCTGTAGACCAGGCTGGCCATGAACTCGTGGAGATCCGCCTGCGTCTGCCTCCCCAGTGCTGGGATTAAAGGCATGTGCAACTACACCTGGCTGCAGGGTCTCTTAATCTGACAGTTCATGAAATGGTAATATGGCATCAGCTGGTGAGAACATGGTTTTTGAGTAGCTCACTCTAGTACACTTTAATATTTATAGAATTATGTACTAACCAATCTGCTAATTTCCTCTTGTCTATCTGGTGCAGATCTTGCTGTTGCCTTAATCATGGTAGAAGTCTGATTGTCTGTTAGTTTCTTGATACACCGTTGCCCAGCCACAATATTGCAGACCTAGAAATAAAGCAAGTTATACAATGTATATATTTTTGTTAGAATACACTCACTTAATGCCAATTGCCTATTAAATATAATTTTAAAGTCTATTTAATCACTTCTTTTTTTTTTTAAAGATTTTATTTATTTTTTATTATGTATACAGTCTTCTGCCTGCATGCCAGCAGAGGGCAACAGATCTCATTCAAGGTGGTTGTGAGCCACCATGTGGTTGCTGGGAATTGAACTCAGGACCTCTGGAAGAACAGTAAGTTCTCTTAACCACTGAGCCACCTCTCCAGCCCCCTAACCACTTCTTTTCACTATCATGTTAAGAAAAAAAAAAAAGACTGAAAAAAGCATAGTAAAAATGCTAACAATGGTAGAACTATGGGTGAACTTTTATCATTTTGTTTGGCTAGTTTTATGTCAACTTTACACAAGCGGAGGGAACCTCAATTAAGAAAATGCTTCCCTAAGATCAGGCTGCAGGGCATTTTCTTAATTAGTGATTGATGAGGGAGGGCCCAGCTCATTGTGGTCCTGGGTTCTAATAAGAAAGCAGACTGAACAAGCCATGGGGAGCAAGCCAGTAACTAGCAGCACCCTCCATTGCTTCTGCATGAGCTCTTGCCTCCAGGATCCTGCCCTGCTTGAGTTCCTGTTCTGACTTCTTTGATGATGAACAGTGAGGTAGGAGTCTAAGCCAAATAAATCCTTTCCTCCCCAAGTTGATGCTGGTCATGGTGCCTGATCACAGCAACAGGCACTCTGACTGAGACACATCCTATATTATTTAAAGAAATTTTAGAAAAAAATTAGAATTTAAAATTTGTTCAAATTCCAAAATAAATGTGAGACTCAGATAAATCACAGGTCATAAAGGATCCTAAAAGAATGATGAACAGTGCCAGGGAGGTGACTCTGCTGGTCAAGCACTTGCTGCATAGGGACCTGAGTTCAGATCCCTAGCACTAATGTAAAAAGCTAGGCATAGTGGTGATGCCTGTAATCTCAGTGCTGGGGAGAGGAAGAACAGGAGAGGCGGAAAAATAGATCCTGGAGGCTCGATGGTTAGCTAGTCCAGCTCAAACAGTAAGTTCCAGATTCAATGATACAGATAGATAGCAATAGAGGAAGACTCTCGATGGCCTCCTCTGCCCCCCCCCCCAAACACTGGCACACACACTCGAACACGCACACACACTTGAACATGCACACAGAGAAGGATGAACAGAAGCATGTCATAAGCAGTAGAAAGACATTACTTCTAGCGGCAGGTACGTATGCTTCTGCTCCTGCCCCACTTGCAGACAGGGAAGGTGAGGGTACTTCAGCTGAAGAGCGTACTTTTCTCTGAAATACTGGGCTACAGTTCTCTCCACAGTCTGGCCATTTTCTAACTGTAAAGGAAAGCTGGAAGAAAAAGAGCTGCATGAGCAGATCTCATCCTGTTAGGAGCTAGCAAACTACCAACCCCTTACTTAGAGGAAGCTGCTTCAGAGCACTGCTGTGGGAAACACCAGCTTTTCTTACGTTTGATGGCTGGCAGGCCTTCTTGTTACATTACAAACACGGTATTTCCGTCTCATTGTTCCACAATGAGTCACTTCAACCTTCAGACCTGTTCCCAACAAGAAAAGTGAAGGTTACAGAAATTCCATGAAAAATACTTACCCTGTCTGTTCACTATTATAAAACCTCAGTTCTGAGCAGGCAGAAAATCTGTGACACAAGCAATGTGGTATCAGGAAGTTTTATTGCTAATAATTGTTATAATAATTCCAGACCTTTTAATACCAAATATTTTTCTTACTCTATCAAGCTCTTTATGTTAAAAATGAAAAGGCTATAATTTGCTAAGTCCAAAGATAAAGGACAGAGTTCTCCACTAGAAAAAAAGCAGTTGTAATAAAAAAGAGTTTATAATAAACTCATAAATGAGAGCACAAGTTACTTAAACAGCCCCTCATCACATAGTGACGGAAGATTAGAGTTTCATGAAGTTCAAAAGATCTATGAAGCAGGCAGAAAAAAATCTGGTCCTTTTTGCCAGAACTGGACTGAGCCATCTTGTCAATACTCCAATAATTCTTTTGTATTTTTTCTTTTTTTTGAAACAGGGTCTGTCTAACAAGGGGCTATGCTAGAACTTGCTATGCAGACCAGGCTGGCCTAGAACTCACAAAGACCCACCTGTCTTTGCCTCATGAGTGCTGGGATTAAAGGTGTGCACTACCACCCTGGGGATCTTGCAAATAATTCCTTTTTAAAAACTATTTAATTTTATGAGCATTGGTGTGAGGGTGTCAGATACCCTGGAACTGGAGTTACAGATAGTTGTGAGCTACCATGTGAGTGCTGAGAACTGAACCCAAGTCCTCTGGAAGAGCAGCCAGTGCTCTTACCCACTGAGCAATCTCTCCAGCCCTCAAATAATTCTTAAAGCAGGTGATGTCTACCTTCTTATGGAGTCATCAACCCTTTGAGAATCTGATGAAAGAAATAAATTCTCAGAAAAACACATACAATCTAGCAAGTAATTTTTAAAAAAGATTTATTTTATATGTACTGGTGTTTTGCCTACATGTATGTCTGTGTGAGGGTGTTGAATCCTCTGGAACTGGAGTTACAGACAGTTGTAAGCTGCCATGTGGGTCCTCTGGAAGAGCAATCAATGCTTTTAACCACCGAGGCACCTTTCCAGTCTGGAATTTTAAATATTTTTAGGTGTCTGTAGTTCATGTATGGATTTTAGTGATTCAAGGATTCCAGGCCAATTCTAGAAAGTAAAGAAATAGTACTCAGGGCCTTGTGCATATCAGGCAAGTGTCCTACCACTGAGCTATATCCTTTACCCTTTTCATTTTAAGACAGGGTCTTGCTGAGTTGCCCACACTAGCCTTGAATTTATCTTCCTTCCTCAGCTTCCCAAATTAGTGTGATTACACTAATTTGCCACGCCTGGCATATCAGGTGACAATCTTCAGGAAGTTTCTTGTTTCTATTTTATTTGGGAATGGGTGGAAACAGCAGTCTCTATGTAGTCCTGACTGTCCTGGAACTCTCTATAGAGACCAGGTTGCACTTGAACTCATTGCCTTCCCAGTGCTAGGATTAAAGGTGTGCCCACCATTCCCAGCAGGGATTTTCGTAAGTAGTACTGAGAAACAGAATGTCCTGAGATGATGTTAAATTTGTGCTAATATGGCAATCATTAGGAACGTGTAACTGATTACAGAAAATGCAACTAATGTGCCTGATAAAGTAAAAATTTAATTTTAATTAAGTTAGTTATGCAAATTCTTAGCTGCCATATTGGCCAACGTAGTAACCCAGGAGTTAACAATATAATATAATATAATATAAAAGGAGTTATCATATAATAGCTACTCTTCACAGAAAAACAGGTCCATTTTAAAGTTTGGCCTAGCTCTGAAAGTGAGTCTAGAAGGGCACAAAAAGAGTTTTAGTTTCTGAACAGAAATTACGGTTATTACTTTAAGTAATCTCACTTTTATATTAGTTCCTACAGTGCAGTGATTCTCATCTGAATGTGATTTTGCCCACCTTGGACCCTGGCACATGGGGTAGTGCCTGGAGAAACTGTGTGTGTGTTGCAAATCCAGGCCTGTGGCACACATTAGGCAAGTGCTTCACCACGAGGTACACTCCCAGCCTCAGGAAGACTTCTGTGACTCTTAAAACTAGGTGATATCACTGGCAGGTGGTGAGTAGAGGCTGGACACTTCCACATATTCTAGAAAGTGCAAAACTGTACCTCCAAACTCAGCAAATTATCCAGTACAAAATGTCAAGAGAAACCCTACCACAGTGTAGTTTTTTTCTTACCTAATTATTAACTATACTAGCATCATAAAGTACACGCATAGTAAATGATATTTTCTTTTGATATATCAGCACAAATTAGGATAGCAAATAGTTTTCCTTTAAAAGTATTCTTAATAAAAATTAAATCACTGAGAAGTATTTTTCATTAAAATTATATTTCTAAAATTAAAATTTCAAATATTTATTATGTTATTATAAAGAAGGCCAGAAAACACAAAGGAAGGCCTTATGGAAACAGTAATAATATGAAGTAAGCAACATAAAAATACTATGTTTAGGGGAAAAAACAATAATACACGTTTCTGTTATTTGAGCCAGTTAACTGTTTATTTTCAAGTTTTCCCCATATTTAAAAAAATATAGTTTTTTTTTTTTTTTTTCCAGACAGGGTTTCTCTGTGACTTTGGAGGCTGTCCTAGAACTTGCTCTGTAGATCAGGCTGGCCTTGAACTTACAGAGATCCTCCTGCCTCTGCCTCCCAAGTGCTGGGATTAAAGGCATGTGCCACCATTGCCCAGCTTAAAAAATATATTTTTATATAAAAATATTTTTTCTATAAATAAGGTTGTACATGCTTATAAAACAAAGTTTTTAATAAAAGTAAATTAGTGCTTCTATATACATAAAATTATCATACATTTCCCCAAGAATAATTGTTAAAAAAACCTCACTCCAAAGTTATTACTAACCAGTTGGAAGTAAATTTAACTAGAATATAATCAATATACTAAAATTTATATTAATTATGACATAATTATGGCACTATTTAGCAGTATCAAACTCCTTAAGTTAAATCTTAAACCCAAACATCACTGAATATAAAACTCTATTTTTTTTTTTTGAGTTCCTGTGATAGGAATACATGATGTACTTTAAAGACTCCCCCTTTTCAAAAACGTCTTCTAGACTTTGAATGAAGGAAAAAAATACTAGTTTATTAAATTAGTTTATTAAATTAGATACAACCCAGATTTTCTATCCCAAATATAAGATCTCATAGGTACCTAACAATTAGACCAAATCCAGGGGCTAGCAAAGAGTCAAAGAATGGAATAATTCTCTGCCCAGGTCCCTCCCCAAACCCTCCATCCAACCAAAACGTTTGGCTTTAATAAATATTTAACCTATAAACTTGGCTTTACCTTCACTATAACATCAACTTTATAATGCTTTCTAGTCAATTTTTCAGTCATTTCTTTGGGCCCCTGAGCAGTTGAAGTTAAGATCGAGTCCATGCTCTTCGGGCAGCAGTTGGATCCTTGTTCTGTACATCTTGTATTTTCTGTGATAGAGTGGTGATATGAGTTGATTGCATAGTTACCGAAAAATAATGTAAGTGATTGCATGATAGCAGAGGTGGTAACTAAGCAGCAACTCCACTGGAAACCATGGCATTTCGATGATCACATAGATAATGGCAGGTCATGTGCTAACCTCCTGACAATGCTAACTGCAGTTAAAACAGATTATGAACGGACAATGATATGGTTGCAAAACAGTCATCTTGAACAGTTTCTTATTTTGGCACTTATATAACTTGAGATAGATGGATGCTTATTAACAAAACAAAAAGGGCTTTCCTTTGAATGCTTTATTACAATGACCGTCTCTTTTTTGTTGTTACTGAATGGCAAAGGATGAATGATAACTGGAACAAGCAGGATGTATGCACCTACTCTAATTGGTTTGGGGGAACTGAAAGATGTTCTGTGAACAAACTTGAATGCTTCCTTCAAACCACAAGCTGAAAATTATCTGCAACAAATAGGTAAAAATCTTAAAACAAAAACAATAATTATTTTTATCTATTTAAGATGTAACATTTAATATAAACAAAGTTTGTTACTCCTTACTAGATATTATCTGGTTTCTTCATGACTATATACAGTGGAGTTACATCTTACAGGAAGATTATAGATACTAAAGTCATAAATAAGGAGAGAACTGTACACAATTAAATTGCTTTTTTAAAATCCCTGAAATTACTGATAAAGCACAGTGTTTGTTAGTTTGAACACAAAACTGTAAATGTACTTAAAAATATACAGAAAGAGCAAATATGCACAGAATATAATATCAGAACACTATTAAAGTAATTTTAATTTGAGGGACTACAGATAATAACGTTTTTTTTTGTTTTTAGTTAAATGGACATATGATGCAACACCACTGTAAAAATTTTAACTAAGTAAGATAGGTACCTCCAATAGTGCACATTACATAGCTAAGATACAAATTTAGAATAACACATGAAACCGGTGAATTCTATATTCTAAAATCCCAAAGAAGTAAGATTTAAAAACACTGTAATTTTAGAAAAATAATGAGATCATTAATCAGAATATGTTCAAAGAGTGAGTCAAACTCTAAAGTAACAATATTTTTAAGGTAAGATTCTGTTTTGCCATTTTTTTATTTATTAATTTCATTTCACCACAGTTCTTAAGGTAAAATTCTGACTTTAAAGACAGTATTAGAGAAACATTTCCCAATGAGACACACTCATCTCTCCAGCTAGTATGGGACAGTATTCACAAAAACAAAAACATAGCTGGAATGCTTAGCATATTTTTCATTCAACCACTACTTAAGAAGCTACAGGAATGGATCTGATGTAACATTTTATAGTTAATCTATATTCTATTGGGCATATCACACAGATTAATCTTAATTATAAAAACACTTTCATAGAAAGTTATCTTATCCATGCATTTTATAGTCAAGCTGTTTTAAATACTAATTAGTAGCAAACTATAGAAATGATGTCTGAAAGTATAGTCTTCTAAATTCTAATGAACTCACCTTTTATCTCCTTAGTGAATTTTACCCGATGAGAATCAGTCAGAGGTCTGGGTTGCTCATCAATGTTATGAATGTCAAGAACTTCACACATGAACTGAATTACAGGTTGTGCTTTGTAGAAGGCAGTGGCAGAAACTAAGAAAAAAACACAAATAGTATAAATTAATATTTTAAAACTCAGAACCTCCATTGTAAGTTTCCATAATTAACTATGTACAGTTAAAATGATCCCTTATGGGAGTGTATAATTTATATATATTATACCCCCCAACACACATGTATGTATTTTCCAAAATGAAGGAATTTGATTTCTGAGATATAAGAAGAGAAAGGTCAAATACTATAGTTTTTATAAACTATCTCTTTCACCACGAGTAACTAATTTTCACAGAAGTGTTCTAGGAGAACTGTGAAGTCAAAGAATGCCTAACTGGATTATTTCTTAAACAAGCTTCCTAGTCTAGCATGCTCATTTCTCCTAGAGAGCTTTATCTTGTAAGGACTTACGAGGACAGTATTAAACCCGAGTCACAGGCCATACCAGTGGTACCTGCCAAATGTTCCTGAGCAACAGATACCAGCATGATTATTTTAAAATGGTTTCTTATCTCTGGGTTTTGGAACTACAAGTCTGCTAGTAGACCACACATCTCCTTTTCTCCTTCCCTCCTTCCTCCTCTTCTTTCTTTTCTCCTCCTCCTCCTTCTAAGACAAGGCCTCACTGTGTAGCACTTGCCCATCTGGGACTCAATACGGCGAGGTTGGCCTCAGATTTACAAAGATACATAATCCCTTTGCCTCCTAAGTGCTGGGATTAAAGGTGTATACCACTACATTTAACCTTATTGTTTTTAAGATTAAGAACTTATGAGTGTGTATGTCTCTATGGAAGGGTATGTGCATGTGTGTGAGCGGTGACCTCAGAGGACAGAAGAAACTCTCAACTCCCTGTAGTGGAGTCACAGGTGGCTATGAGCTGCCAGTGTGGGTCCTGAAGACAGAATGGAGGCAGGAAGAGTGTGCTCTTAACTGTTGATCCATCTCTCCATCTTTCCATCCTTACAATATATATATATATATATATATATATATATATATATATACATACATATATTAAACAATATATATATTGTTTTTTTGAGACAGGGTTTCTCTGTGTAGCTTTGGAGCCTATCCTGGCACTCGCTCTTGAGACCAGGCTGGCCTCGAACTCACAGAGATCCGCCTGCCTCTGCCTCCCAGATGCTGGGATTAAAGGCGTGCACCACCAACGCCCGGCTACATTATATTCTTTTACTGAAAAACTGTGGGAACATTTTTGTGCATAAGCAAATGCCAGAAAAGATGGAGGTGGTCACTCATGCCTTTAATCCCAAAACTCATGAGGCAGAGGCAGGCAGAGCGCTATGAGTTCAAGACCACCAGCCAGGGCTACATAGTGAGACCCATCTTAAAACAAAACAAAAAAACAGAACCAAACAAAAAACAAAAACAAAAAAAAACAAAATAAAACAAACATGCCAGTAAGATACATACATACATACATACATACATACATACATACATACATACATACATATACATACATGTTTCATTACTTCAGCAAATGCTGGCCTGGGCTACTTTTTAAGAAGGAAATAGATAAAAGAAATGTGTTTCGAATAACATGTTTTTACTTTCCTTTAATCCTAAAGGTAGATTTTCTTCACTGGATATTACCAGTCACAACTGAAACTACCATACTAACATACTACAGTTATTTCTTCTACTGTATTTTCCTGTTACACTTCCAATCATTTCACTGTTTACCATCTTCTAAACTACATACAATAACATGGGCATTTGGGAAGAAAATTAAACTTTGTAATACAAAGCTTTAAAAAGGATAGGTTGAAAGGGCAGGTCTCCCATGGAGGAGAGGAGTGAGGGGAAAGAGTGGCTGGGATGTAAAATTAAAAACAAAAACAGTGGTTGAAATGAGGAAACACAGTTTTAAGTATGAGTAATTTCTAATGGTAAAAGATCACTGGGATCCCTTTGTTGACCTTTCAAATGTTTGTTGTTTGTTTTGTTTTTAAGACAGGCTGCCTCACTCACTATGTATGTGTGATCTTGAATGTCTCTGATGATCATATTTCCACTTCCCAAGTGCTCAGATTATCGGCCTGCACCACCATGTCTGGATTATGTGGTACTGTGGACTGAACCTAGGGCTCTCTATGTTCCAGGAACGGATTCTACCCATTGAGCTACAGCAACCAGACCAACTGCCCCATCCCCCAGCTGATATTACAGGCATGTATCACGGTGCCAACTGACTCCAAATATTTCATAAGTCTACATATATATTTAATTTTATCTTTCCCTTTCACAAATAAGCTAATTACTCTTGAGAAAGTTAATATTTAACATTTTAAGACTCCAATAAACATTCTCTAAACATAATGATATATATTAACCAAAGGTTCTATGTTAACATAAACCTTCCTTAAAAAGGAAAAGCATGTAATAATTTTTTTATAGGAAATGATCCACAAAAAGCACTTGATAGAACCTAGCACTGTGGCAATTAATATTCTGATTGTACAAGGGCTGGAGGGAACTTACTTAATTTGGTCAGTCACCTAATAAAACTCCATGGCAAATCCAACTTTGTTTAATACAAGTTGCTAATTAGCACAGTAAAGCAAATTAAGAGAAATAAAAAGTTAAAAATGAAAAGGGAAAACAAATAACTACATGTCATCAGTGTAACTATTTAGAAAACTACTTTGTAGATAAATTACTAGGACTGTTGTCAGACTTATGAGCAGCTTACAAAAGTAAATTACATTTTTATATACTAGCAATCAACTCAATTTTTTTTCTTAAAGATTTATTATATATACAATGTTCTACAGGCATGTATGCCTGTATACCAGAACAGGGCACCAGATCTCATTATGGGTGTTTGTGAGCCACCATGTGGTTGCTGGGAACTGAACCCAGGAACTGACCTCTGGAAGAGCAGTCAGTGCTGTTAACCACTGAGTCATCTCTCCAGCCCTCAACTCAAAATTTATTTCAAAAGATATTCCTTGCAATCAACAAACTAATTTTTTAAAAGTTACTTATTGAATGTGTGCATGCCACAGCGCTCATGTGGCCGTCAGAGGACAACTTGTAAGAGTTGGCTCCCTTCTTCCACCATGCAGGTTCTGGGGATCAAACTCAGGTCAGTAGGTTTGGCAACAAGGGCCTTTACACAATGAATCCTCTTGCTGGCCCATGCCAAAAGCTTGAAAGTACTTGGACTGAAGTCTAAACAAAAGATGTGTAAGAATTATAGAAGTATAATTAATATAGAAAGATTGTAGAGACACTCTAACAGAGTAAAATATCTTACCCATGTACATTTTTTCTAAGATTTATCTGCATATTCAAAACAACTTCTACCAATATGACTGAACATGTATCAAATAGGTGCAACTACTGTCCATGGGAATTAAGAAACTAATACTATAGTTAACATAAAAGGATAAAACAATGAAAGTCAATAAAAGAATGAAACAAGAATAGCCATGACCATTCTTAAGGATAAGGTACGGAGAGATGGCTCAATGGTTAAGAGCACTTACTTCTCTCTCTCTCTTTTCTCTCCCCACTCTCCCTTCTCTTCCCTTACTTACTCCATTCCCTTTCTCAATAAACTTTCCACATAATTTTAAAAACAAAAGCACTTGTTACTCAAGCAGAGCACCCAGGATCAATTCCCAGCATCTATGTGATGACTCACAACCATCTGGAACTCCAGTTCCAGGGATCAGATACCTTCTTGATTTCATGAGTACCAGGCACACATGGTGCACATACATATACACAGGCAAACAGTCATACACATAAAATCAAATAAGTAAATCTTTTTGTTTGCTTGCTTTTGGTTTTTGAGACAGGGTTTCTCTGTGTAGCCCTGGGTGTTCTGGAACCCAATCTGTAAACCAGGCTGGCCTCAAATTCAGAGATTCACCTGCCTCTACCCCCTGAGTGCTGGGATTAAAGGCATTTGCCTCTGCTACCCAGCTGGATCCATTTTTTTTTCAAAATGTTTATAACTGTTTTAATATAACTTATTATTTTATTTCTTTCCTGTTAACTTGAAATGCCACCTCAGACATTTACAAAAATTCCATAAATACACAGCTCCTTTGTTTCTAGGCTTTCTCTCAGAGTCATTAAATTGGAATTCTTAATGTATCATGATTTATGAGAGTAGACAAGGGCCAGCAAGATAGTTCATTGGGTAAAGATGCCTGCCACCAAGTCTAAGGATCTGAATTCCACTCCAAGACTAAGGTGGAAGGAGAGAACTTACTTCTTCAAGTTGTCCTCTGGATGTGCACCCCCCAATAAAAACATGATTAAAAAGATAATGGGATCCACGTAAACATCAATCAATGGAATGAGATAAATTATAAACATATTCCAGTCAGTGGTGGAGCACTCTTTGAAACCAGCACTCAGGAGGTAGAGGCAGGTGGACCTCTGAGTTTGAGGCCAGCCTGGTCTACAGATTGAGTTCCAGGACAGCCAGGGATACACAGTGAGACCCTGTCTTGAAATAACAAAACAAACAAAAAACCATTATAAACACATATATAGTACAAATTAAAATGAATGAGAATGCACCAGAATTCAGTTAAACTGAGAAATAAAGATGTTAGGGAAGTTTGTGAAGATTGTATCTAGTTAGAGAACTGGAGGAAAAAAAAAGATCAAATTAGGCAATGAGATTACGAGTGAGTTCAATTTGTGAACATAATGCATTACTGAGTTTATTAAGTTAATTTCACTAAAATTTTACAAAATATCCTAAAATTCATGTATCTTTTTACTAGATTTACTCATTGATAGCAGATAAAAATGTTTTGTTTTTTTCCTAGTGCTATGCACTAAGTTAGAGCCTACACATGCTAGGTGAATGCTCTCCCACAGAACTACATTTCCAACCCAAATTTTGGCTTTGGTTGGAAACTTATCTTTTAATTTTCTTACTTATTGCACGTTTGTTTAATTAATTAGCTAATCAACTGATTGTACTAGGGATTAACTAAGGGCCTTGGGCTAAACAAGTGCTTTACCAGGCAACACTTAAAAAA